TGAAAACCAGTCATGATGAAAAACTCAGCCAAAGAAAGAATCCAAGACTGACACCAGGTACCGCCCTCCTAGGTACAAACGCTTGGCTCCCTTTGCTTTTGAGCTGATTCCTCTTCAGGTCTCCCAGCCTGGGGACTGAGCATCTCCCAGAGGGGTATCTTTTCCCAGAGGTGGGCCAAGCTGAGCCCTGGCCAAGCAGGTGCTCCCCTGTGGTCCCCAGACCACTGTTCCAGATGTGTCCTTCATGTGGGCAGGGCTCTTCCTAGGGTGCAAGTGGCTGGAGGGGTGCTTTACCTACGGTTCTGCTTGGATGTGTGAGGTTCTGCTTGTTTCTATTGAAATTTTAAAAGTTACCTACTGTGTGTTAGGTACTAAGGCCTCCTTATCATGAAGCAGGAAGCTCTTTGCAAAGTTCAGACCCCACAGATGCACACAGAGCAGGTGAGACAGAGTATCTGCTGGGGGTCCCAGTGGTGAGAGGAGGCTGAGGACTAGCAGGTGTCACTCTGGCTTCCTGGGCCTAAACTGCAGGGACACTGCGGCTACCTTCCTCCTTCTTAGCCCCTTGCGGAGTATCTGCCGATGGCTGCAAAGGCCCCGACTAGAGCCAGGATCCAGGGCTCCTCTCAAGGCCACTCCTCCCTTTCTAGCCTCAGACAAGAGAGAGGCCACAGTGAAATCAGAATTGGGCTTGAACCAGGAGTCCAGGCAAGGAGGAGATGAATGAAGAAGAGGATTAGATCAAAAGTCAAAGGTCAAGTCTAGTGATGGGTGGTGGGGAGGTGGCTGTGGGGGGCTACACTGGACACAGTCATAGCACCTACTTCCCTAGGCACTGGGCTACTTTCCAGAAAGTCGTACGTTCATCTTTCAGACAGATGCAAGGCATAGAAATTTCTGAAGGGTCACCTTCACCTGGGATCACTCCAGGCCTCTGGGAGGGCGTAGGACAAGAGAATGACCCAGACAGAGCAGGTAGGCTGAACAACAGGACTTGTTGGATTTTAAGAACTGGAGGATTCCAGAGAGGGAGAAAGGCAGGGAAAGAGGGAAGTTGAGGTATAGACACCAGACAATAGTTAGATGGAGTGAGGGTCAGAAGCCCCTGGATTCTTGGTGGAAGCCGTCCTGCACACAGGGCAGGTGCATTGCTTTAGGGCACTCTGGATTAGCTTGTTGATTTGAGGATCCAAACATCTCCTTGGATCACCTCCTTAGGGGGCTGAGGCACAAACTCTTTGCTAGAATACCAACTATGATCCAGTGGAGAGTAGGTTGAGGGAAGGAGCAGAACAAATGAATAGCAGTAGTAAGAACTAGGCTTAGGGTAGTACTGAATACCGAACATGTATAAGCACATGAAAGATCTACTGCCGCTATGCATATTGGCTCATACCTATAATCCCAGCTATGTAAGAGGTTGAGATTGAAAGGATTTGCCTAGGCTAGCCTAGGCAAAAAAGCTAGCAAGACCCCATCTCAACAAATAAAAAGCTGGGTGCAATGGATCTCATCCAGCTACCTGGGAGGTGTATCTAGGAAGACTGAGGTCCAGGCTGGTCCAGGCAAAAACAACAACAACAACAAACAAAAGTGAGACCCCATTTGAAATACAATGATGACCAAAAGAGTTGGAGATGTGGCTCAGTGGTAGTACACATCCCTACCAGGCATGAGGCCCTGAGTTCAAACCCACATATCCCTCCCCCTCCCCCCCCCAAAAAATATCTATTGAAATATCTATTGATGCTAGTGCGTTGAGTACACAGATGTGTCTCTGGAAGGCCACCAGATATCAGGGACAGCAGCTGTTTCCCAGGAAGGGAAGAGGAGGCTCAGCACGGGTAGGAGGAAGACTTGCTTTCCATAGTTGGCCTTTTCATCACTGGTAGTACTGTTACCATGCACGGGAGGCTCCATTTCTCCTCAGTCAACTCCTGCCTGCTCTCCTATTGCTGCAAGACAAGGAATGGCAGCCTCAGCCCAGTGTCCCCCAACTCCCCTGCATCCTGTCCAGCTGTCCTGGCCTCTGCTTTGTGTGAACAGATGTGCTGGTGTTGATTTTGTAAGAGTGCAGTGGAATTGTGGTATGGTGCAGACTCATCCTGAGTCCTGAGACCTGTGGGGTTCACTTTTGATGGCTTTGCATGGCTGGGTACTGGGTACTCAGGACGCAGCAATGCGCACAGCAAGTGAGTGAGACTGGCAGGGATTAAGTGGGAAAGCATGGACATGGTCAGCACTGCTCAGCACACTGCTCAGCAGGGAACAGTGCCCAGGCTGTGCATGGATGCAGTGTTCAGGCTGAGATCTGAAAAATGAGATTCACTGGGACAATTGTGAAGTAGCCAGCAATACAGGCTGAGGGTCAGGCTAGGGGGTCAGGTGGACAGACCCCAGAAGGTGGAGTTTGGAGGGACTAAAAAGCAGCCAGAGACTCATGATTGATGGCCAGGTGGCAGGGACACCGGGCTGTTGCGGCCCTGGCTCGGGAACACTGCTCTGTCCGTCAGAGCTGTGGGTCTTTCACCAGCTTTCCTGGTGGTCTCTTCTGAATTTCATCTGATTGGGTACAAATGCTCCAGCACTTCAAGGAAGTAGGAGACCCTTTGATTAGTTCCTGCCCTGACTGCAGGCTTTGCTCGTTATCAGATTTACATTCTAAATGACTTCTGTAGGAACTCCTTGTACAATTGGTGCTGTCAACAGAGGTTCATTGTTAACTGGACCATAAGGGACAGAAAAAATAACAGACCGCACATTTAAACAAGACAAAACTGTGATAGAATTTAATTTTTTTAGGTGAAGAAGTCTGGTGGTAACCCTGGACTCCAAAATAAATCCAAGACCAACCATAAGGGTTCTACCATGAGGTACAATATGGCTGCTCAAAAACCTACAATCATATCTACAATTCAAGCAGAAAGAGGAATGTGTGGGAAAGAAGGACACACCCCTTTCTTTAAGGTCCCTTCCTGGAAGTCATATAGAGTTTACTTCTGTTTGCATTTCATTGCCCAGAATCTATCACAAGATTGTATCCAGCTTTGGGGAAAATGAGGAAGTGTAATGTTTATTTTGGGTAGTCACCTGCTAGGCTAAAAGAATGTGGGGTGGTATATTGTAGGAAGAAGGAGAAACGGAATATGCAAGACATGACATTTTCTATTGTGTATGAGCAAATAAATTTGAGAAACACTTGGCTGGGAAAAGTGAAACCATTGCAGAGTTTCTTTAGTGCAAATGGCCACTAAAGAGGCTGTATCTAGCCTTTCAAAATGCATGAATTATAGGATTGGTCTGTGTGTGTGAAGCAATTTACAGAATTGGTATTCTGTAGATCATGCGCAGGTAAACTGAGTCTTTGGTGATTGTAGAATCCAGATGGGCCAGAGCCAGGCAGGGCTAGTTCAATGTGAAGACTGCTTGCAATTAACCCTAGATCCACCCAAATCAGATGGGAGGCCTGGAAGAGGCTAGGCATAGAGAAGGGTTGAGGTTCCTGCTGTCAGTAAGTTCAAAGTCAGGGGACACACATTCTCAGCAAAATAATGATGACAGAACAGGGGGCTAGAACCTTGGCTGCAGCATCTGGTGGTGATGAGAGATAGGGGACACTGAAAAGAGGGAGCTTGGGCCCCGAGTGGTCCGGGGGAAGGCTGAGTGCAGGGGAAGAAGAGACGCAGAAGAAGCAGCTTCTCTGTGATGCAGTGGGAGGGAACAGCTTTAGAAACAGAAAGACCAGAGCCAGCGGTGGAATGCAGGCCTCTCTGTCCCCTGCTCCTGCCCTCTGTCTGCCCTTTGTAGGAATCCAGGCTTCCTCCGCTGGGACACCACAGAGCAGGCAGCCCTTGGCAAGTTACACAGCTCTGTCACCAGCACCCTCTCTCTCCCTGCCTCCACGCACCTCTTCAGCAGTGGTGCAATAAAGTCTCTCTGCCCCTTAGACTCCTTCTCTCAAGGTAGCTCTGGGAAATTTGGAGTCTGCTCCACCCACCACAGAGAAAGGCCTTGTAGGGCTGAAAACACCAGACGTGTGTCTCTCCAGCTGTGGAGGCTGGAAGTCTGGACTCCAGGTGTGCATGTGTGTATGTGGGAGGGGAGGGGGTGTGCTTCCTGCCTCTTCCCCCTCTGGTGGCTGGGGGGAAGGGTGCGGATGATCCTTGGTGCTGCTGGACTTCAGATGCATCACTCTGGTCACCCCCAAAGTCCTGTGCTGTCTCTATGCATGTGTGTGTCCGTGTGTATGGGTGTGTCCGTGTGTATGGGTGTGTGTCTCCCTCCACTTCTCTCATCTTCAGAGTGTGAGCCTAGTGACTGGTCTACATTCTACACTTCAAAGGCCCCGCTCCAGATTGAGGTCACATTCACCGTGGCTAGGCCATCAACAGTATGTTTCCCCATTGGATGCAACTAGAGCCAGTCCTGGGCCGTGGAAAGGACACTTCGTCTTGTAGCTCTTGCTACCAGCAAATCAACAGATCCCATTTCTTGCTAATTTATTAGCTTTGCCTTGATCCAACCCTCCCAGTGCAGGCCCTACAAACACACGCCAGGTATGTGCTGGGAAGCCAGGCCAGCTGGCAAGGAAGCACACGGCCAGGCTAGGGCTCGGGAAGCAGGCAGGGAGGTGGCCAATTTTCCCTTTCTACTTCTCTGCCTGGACTCTGGGATCTCCTCTGCAAACAGGCAGGGAACAGCTGGTTCTACAGACAGTGCCGCCCGCCCCTCCACCAAAGCCCCCTGTCTCTCCAGCCTGGCTCCCAGAGCTCTGCCTCCAGCTACACAATTTCCAACATTTTCAACCGCTCTGTAAGTAACAGGGTGGGGGTGGGGAAGAGGAGGGCCTCAGATTCTGCCAAGTTCAGCCACTGGCAGCAAAGTTGCTTTCTGTGTGCACCACGGTGTCCCTGCTGTCCCTCGGGACTGTATCTGTGTGTTACAGATGCTGTGGCAAAGAATCACAAACTAGCATTTTATTCACAGGAGTGTATTGTCTTAGTTCTGGAGGATGAAGTTTGAAGCGAAGGTGGGCAAAGCTGCCTGCTTCTGAGCCCCTCTACCTCCCCCTCTTTCCCGAGGGCAGAATGGGACCCAACCTGTCCTTCCAGCTTCTGGGGTGTAGCTAGCACCCTTTAGCATTTGCTACCTTGCAAAAGCATGGCCCTGCTCACTACAATATCTGTAGTGATAGCTCTGTCCCTGTGTTTCTTCTTTCTGTGTTACTGGGCAACAGATTCACATGGGGGCGGGTGGAGGGGTAGAGAGCCAAGGTCACACTCGTGAGGCAACGGGAGGCTGGCTAGAGTGCCAAGGCAGCTGTGAAGGCTGGCAGAGCCTCCCAAGGAGGGCGCATCTGTAACAATTAGCAGTAGACTTGTCTGCCTCTTAGGTGTCCAGATGAGTGGCTCCACAGAACCATTTGTAGCTTTAGAAGTTGGGCAGGAGTTCTGGCCACAGCAAGATACCCCTTTGGTACCTAGATTTAGGAAAATATAAAGTTGTCTTCAGAGTTAAGCCATAAGACAACCACAAGCTCTAGAACCACTAACACACCCAGGAGGAATATGAGCTTGGAATGTGTGTGTATGTGTGTGTGTGTGCCACATGCATGACTGTGCATGTGTATGCATGCACACGTATATGTGCAATGTGAGCAAGTGTGCATGTGTAACATGTGCAAATTTGCACGTGTGCATTAATGCATTGTGCATGAGAGTGAGTTTTTGTGATGATGCCAATTATACACATGTATATGTGAACATGCCTGATTTTTATGTGTATGCATTATGTGAGCTTATGATTGTGTGTGTGTGTGTGTGTGTGTGTGTACGCGCGTGCGCACACACACGCAGCTAGAGGACCCAAAAAAGGGGATAGTGCCTCTGCTCAGCAAGCTAAAGCAAAAGCCAAGCAGCATGTTCTTGGCTGTCCCCATGGGAGAGGGGAAAATGTCCTGTGCTGTGTCTGTGGCGGAGGGGAAGTGTAAGATGACACCGCTTGTGCCAGTGTCACTGGCTTCAGCCAAGGACAACCGCCATTCCAAACTAACTGGGCACTGGCTGTCACTGGTTTCTCAGGGGCTCGCTGTCTTTCTGGGAGGGAGTGTGGCCAGGAGCAGATGTGGGTGGGGACAGACATGAGGGCGTGGACTGCAGACCTGCCTGCCTGGCCCTTCAGCCCAGCTCCTCTCCTGGTGTCCACAGCCGGCGCCCCTGGGGATGGGACTTACCCTCTCTGACCTTCAGTTTCCTCATCTGTGAAGCAGGGTTTCTAATAGCCCCTGCTATCTGGGCTGTTGTAAGGATTAAGCAGGTGATCTATGTACAGTACCTAGCACAATGGGCATTACCTAGTACCTTGCATGGCTCACCTTTGCAAAGATGGTCAAAGCTACCATCACTCCCTTAGCAGACATTAAAATGACCAGACATTAAAACACCGCACTTTTTTGAGGCAGGGTCTCTCTATGTAGACCCGGTTAGCCTGGAGTTGGTGATCCTCCTCCTCAGCCTCCTGCCTGAGTGCTGGGATTGCAGGTGTAAGCCACCATTCTGCATGACTTTTTATATGAGCCCTTTGAGAAGTGCACCCACTCTGGGGGTGGGAGTGGGGTAGGGGAATGCCAGTACAGTGCTCCATGTGCGGGGAAAGGGGACCCAGTTAGCCTGTCCAGTGTGGTCTTGCAGGATAATCACAGTTCCCCAGCATGTGGCAGATGCTCAGGGAGTATGTGGCTAGGACACAAATGATGGATGTGATGGGTTCATGAGTGACGAGTCACATTCATGGGGCCTTAGGACCAGAATGATGGTAGCTTTGCAAAGACAAGCCACTCAATGAGCTGACACCTGGTGACCAGGCCACACCCCCTCCTTAGAATCACTGACCCCAATCTACCCAGTACCTAGCTGGAGAGGGAGGGGCGGAAGTGGGAGCTGGTGCTCCCCTGATCACCAGGTCAAGGCTGAGTCATTCTTACAGAAATCTCCCAGGCTGCTGGACTGAATCATTTGGACCTGCTGTAGTCCAAATGATTTAGACAGACTAGAGATGTCTTTGATGAAGGCCGGTGTGCTCTCACTCACTCTCACTGTGGTCTCCAGGCCAGCAAAAATCCATCTTCACGAGAGGCTTGTTAGAAATTCAGAGTCTCAGGCCAGGTCTGGGGACTCAACAAGCCCTAGTGTGTGTAACTTGAACTTCTTCAAGCACCTGCAGCTTGGCTATCTCCAAAAGACAAAAAGAAAACCTGGCATTTAGAAGTCTGTAGCTTCCCTTACTCTAAAATGTATGTCCAGGAGCTGACCAGTGGGGACCAGCTGCCTGGACAGGTCCATGCCCTGCCCTCTGCCCCAAGCTTTCTTATCTGGCCTTCTCACAAACTCTTTATTGGTCAGTAGGCTGACATTCTTCACAATAACAATGAGAAATGCTCTGCTGTTTGCCGACAGGTTCAGTATTTGTTTTCTGAGCAAGCTTGCTTGTGTTTCCACTGGAGGGGTTGTTAAGGCAAGTTATACTGCAGGGTGTTTTATCACCCTTTCCTCCTGCCTGGTGGGTACCAGCCCAGGTCCTGGCAGGCATCTCCTGGCACCCAATGAGCAGGCGCCATCCTTAGCCTTCCAGATCATCCCCGCCTCCCGCCTCCGCACCTTGCTTCATCTGTCCAGCTGTGCACAGCTGGCACCCAGCAGCCCTGCTGCCTTCCTCCTTCCCATTTTGGAGAGAATACAGACACATGTCAATGGCAATGCAGTAAAATCTGATGATTGCCCAGAATGCCTAAGTTTTCCAAATTACTGCTTGCACTTCCTTTCTACATCCCGGCATGCCCAGACCCACTCCTTGGGTTCAGTCTCAGCACAGCAATCAGGTATCTGCTCTTTCAGCTGCTGGGGGTAGTGGTGGCTCAGGGAGGCCCCAACCTGCTGTACCTGCCGAGAGCAGGGCACAGTTAAGATGCAGGCCAGGGGCTGGGGGTGCAGATGGGCCCAGATCCCCAAACCTAGCTCTTTCCACAAGGAAAACCAGCAAGGAATGGAGAAATCCTGAGACAGGAGGCAGGACAAAGCGAAGTCCCACAGGGCAAGATGGAGGCAGCTTGGTGCTCTGTTTGGGACTCAAAAGAAAGGGTAGAATTTTCCTCGAGCATGAGAAATGAGGCCTAGGCCCTTGGGTTCAAGTTGAATACAGTGCTTGGAATTCTAATGATAACTTTTGCCCAAGAAGGGGATGTAGAGGTACTTACTGTAGAGAATTGGGGAGATAACAAAACATAAAAAAGAAAATGAGAAGCCATTGTACTTCCACTCCCAGCGATCATTTCCAGTGGCTTTCTGATGTCTCCCTCCCTTGCTTTAACCTGTAGTTTTCTTTTTATGTAGATTAAAAATTTCAATTATTCATCTTTTTCTTATTGAGAACACATTGTTGTTCTTATGGGGATATAATATCAAAGACAGTTATTCTAGGACTAGAAAACAGAAGGAAAAAATCCCCAAACACTTGGGAGTTAAATAGCCTGCCATTAAGTCAAAGAAGGGCATCACAAAGGAAATAAATATATAGCACTCTGAGGTACAGATAAAGCAGTGCCATGAGGGAAATTAATAGCACTAAAATGCTAATATTCGGAAAGAAGAAACATTTCAAATCAATAAGCAAAATTAAATTAAAGTAGGGGTGTGTGTGGTGAATTCATGCAGTGAGCTGAGACTTCCAATTTAGACTAGCTTCCTGTGCACAGAGTAACTCCCAGAACTTAAGCTTACTTACCTTTAATCCAAGAATACCATTTATCTTTTAGAATTAATATGGGTATTTAATAAGGAATGGTTTGTCGATTGGAAATATCATTTTCCTTATGATGTCTTTTTTAATCTTAAAGAGCAATAATATTTGTGGATATAGCTAATACCTGAGTGTTCTGTTCCCTCCCCCCCCCACTCTTTCTTTCTCTTTCAGACCCCACAGATCCTCTCCAGCCTTGTGTTCCAGCCAAAATGGAGCCTAGGAGCAAGGCTGGCTTCTCCCCTGCCCACCCCCTCTTGTCCTCAGAGTTGTGCAGGAGGATGGAGGGGGAGGGTGGAGGACAGTTAGGTGCTGGACGAAGCACCCTGTCAGTCTGGAAGTGTCTGCTCAGTCTTACATGTGTAAAATGTCCACAAAACATATACTCACACTACACACATATTCATGCTCTCTCTCCCACATACACATAATATTCATTACACATAAAAATTGACTTAAATTCACCCCAGATTGTATTTACATGTTCAGTAATAATTGAAGTGACCCAACAGAAGGGCCGTGTGTGTGTGTGTGTGTGTGTGTATGTTGCTGTTCTTGATGCAAGAACACATTTCTACCCCAGGCCTTTGAACTTTCTTCTCTTCTGCCAGCTATGTTGTTCCTGTATGGCAAAAGGAAACCTCACTGCCTTCAAGTCTTTCCTCAGAAGTCACCTTCTCAAGGAAGCTAACCCTGAAAATTACTTAAAATTTCACTCTATCTGCTTCCCACTACCTACCATTCTTCTCTCATGTTCTACTTTTAAAGTCTTTCCATGTACTTACTGTTTTGCAATAATGCAATGCAGAAGAACAAGGGAATTTGTCTATTCTTCTCAGTGATAAATCCCAAGCGCCCAGGACTATGACTGACGCACAGTTAATTTTCCTTTTCAATAAATATTTCTTGAGTGACTGGATCTTGATCCCTGGTGACTTAGCCTGCCAGCCAGGAGGCCATGTCATACCAGGACTATCCAGCAGATGGCAGCCAATGAACACAAGAGACAGGAGGCGCCGGCACTTTGAACTCAAGGTTCTCCCAGTGAAGTGTGAGATAAAGTGGGAGACAAAATCATGCTCCAGTTTCTCCAAAAGCAGACTTTTCCCTCTGACAAAGGAGTTGAGTGTAGGAGGCGGGCCAGGGAACTGATAAGGCTTTTATCTAGCACAGGAGGCTGTTTACCAAAGTGTAGGCTTAGAAAATGTGAAGCAGTTTTGAGAAAAAAAATGAGGTCAGCGTTCCCACAGTGGGAACCGGGAAGTAGAGAAGGCCTGTGGCTTTGGGTTTGCCTCAGTTCTTGAAAGTCTGGGGAAAAAAACACATTTTTTCACTACTACTGTGGAAATGAAGCCAGCCCCTATCCTATCACTGAGGCATGGAATTTTCTAGTACTACTCAAGAGTATTGTTAGTATCACTAAAGATGTTCCTCTCCTGGGCTTCCGTGAGACAATTCTCTTCCTGGGTGCTTTGGTTCCCCACTCTATCAGGAGACTGAATTGTGGGGGTAGTGAGCCCTTCCTGAGCCAAGTTCAAGATGTAGCTGCCTTAGATCAAATTCATCAAATTCAGAGTGTGCTAAAATAGGAAAAGGCTTTGAGTCTACTGAGTCAGAACTGTTCAGCCAACTGGTCAACCTCCTTCCTGCGAAACAATCCAGTGCTGCCACTTGTTTGGTATTTTCCTTGCATTTCTGCATTGATGCTCAGGAGTACCCTCTTCTTGTTCTATCCTCATAGGTGACATAAGAGGGGTTGTCAACAAGGACTGGGCTAGGTGCTCTGTGGTGCACTCTCAGATGTGAGAGAGGGATGCTGACAATGGAAAGCTGAAGGATCTTCCCAAGTTCACACCGAATTTCACTCTGAAACCTGCCTGACCTCTATATACAAAGACCTATCTTGTACCTTTGCCTCCCCTGCTAGTGTTGGGAGGTCAAATTACAGGCTTTTATTTTGTCTTCCCTAGACCCAAATCTGCACCAGTCCTTGCTGCCTTACATAAAATACTTCCTTGTAGGATATGATGATAGCAACAATTTAGGAGTTCTGTTGACTAGTAAAGTGTCCATGTAGAACCACTTACTGGCCTTTCATGACATGATTTCTGCCTTCTGAAGCTGTTAGCTGTCCTAGGTCAAGACAGACAAGCTCTAAGCACATGGGGGAAATGGAGAAAATGATATTCGTGGAGAAGCCACCTATGCAACTGGAAAGTTGCCCTCAGCCATGTTAAAAAGACGCAAAGGGAACAGGTGAACCAAACAATTGGGTATTGCACACATCATTGTTCATCTTCATTATTTGTTTCATGTAACCCAATGTCTTCAAAATAGAATCAGGTCAATAGGCTTCAACAATAGACCTCTTACATTTGAATGTCATGTTAACTCTTTACCACCTCTGTACAGCTTTTCAAACCTATAGCATAATCTCAATTTCTATTAGCCTTATTTCAAATGCTCTGGAGCAACACATGGCCAGTGGTTACTATACTATATACTATACCATATACAGTCCCATTCTAGGCTTTTTCCCATTCTCAGCAGACCACTGGGCTGACTCTAAGAACTTTCCCAGTGCAGGTCACTTTTTGACCATCTAGACCATTACATTCTCTGAGAATATTCCTTTTGTCTTTTGCCTGCTCAAGTGGGATTGTTTCTAACAAGCATGATGGACAATGGGGAAGAATGCGGAGGAGCGTGAGACAGTAGGACAACTGGCAGGACTAGATCCTTTCTGAGGAGTGAGGAGAGAGTCCTGGCCCTGGGGGAGTCTGGATCCAGGACTCTGGTCACCGAGAGCTGTGGGCACTGAACCTGCCTTCCATGCTCTAAACAAAATGTCTTCATTGCCAGACAGCCCCAATTATCCATGTTGGATAGTTACTAGGTAGAAGAGCAGCAATTGTGTATGGACTGTGCTTAGATAAACAAATAGGCTCAAACTGTCCAGTAAAGGCTGGACAACAAAGGCAAACAGATGGGTCGGACACTGCCTCTCTGGTGGTTCCCAGGGCAGCAGAGACCTGTCCACCCTCCCCTCAATCACAGCTCCCAGCTTTCCCTTCTTTTGGGATGAAAGGCAGTGGTTGGGGGCCAAACCTCTGCACCCAGACTGCCTAGGTTCAAGTTCTGGGTCTGCCATTTACTGTGTACATTGGCAAGTAGCTCTCCTTGCACTGGTGTCAACTAGGAGCAGGGTACTGACTACTTCTGCGGGTTTGCAGGGGTTTGCTGAGCAGTATATGTGAGACTTAGCTCCTGCCAGGCTACTGTGATATTTTATTAGGGAGAGGGCAGGCTCTCCAATACTCCAGCTCATCAGTGCAGAGGTGAAGTGTCTTATTATTTTTTTATTAATGAACTCATTTAATGTGTCATAAAGAGAAGATGAATGAAAATTAATACTATAGAGGACACATACTATAGAGGAAGGAGCAATGCAGGTGAGTGTCTAATATTTAAAAAAAAAAAAACAACAACATGGAGTGCATGTGTGACCTGTACTTGGGAGAGCTGTACTTGGGAAGTACTAGGCAGGGGTTCCTGGGGAGGGAACATGGGGCTGGGGGCCCTTTGGAGTATTCATATTTTACCAGGAGTATGCACCTCCTTCCTGCCACCAGTTACAGGTCATCATTGTGGAAAATGTCCACGTTCTGAAGGAAGAGCATGACAATCTGGTGCTATTTCCTTCCTGGGGGTACCTGCGAAGATGGGTTGCTCATTTTCCATGGATCATCATTCTGGTTCTGAGACTCTGGTTGTTTTGGCAAGGGTGGGGAAAGGGACAGGGGTGCTGAGGATGGAAACCAGGATGGTGTGCATGCCAGGCATGTGCTATGCCAGGAGCTACAGCAATCCCAGCCACCACGTCTCACCATTAAAGCTCCTGTTGGGGTGTAATGCTGGCAAGAGGAAACACTAAAGGGGCCTTTTGTGCACATTACACACACTCGACAAGCAGAGTTTCATACGAATGTGCACTGTGCGCACACACAGAGGCAATGCAACCCAAAGGCTATACACACACACTCCTTAGCAGCCAAACCACTTGGCCCTCACAGACCAGCAATAGAGGGCTTCCCCACACTTCATCTACCCATATTCCAGCCCCCAAAGTATTTCACACTCAAAAACACACAGCCCACCAAACACCCAACAGCAAAAGCTCACACAGCCCACCAAACACCCAACAGCAAAAGCTCACACATCCCCAATAATGAAAGGAGCTACACACACTCATCCAAAAATGAGAGCAACACACACACACACACACAGCACTCTGACAATCTTACAAACATGGACACCCAAACAGCTTTACTCCCCCAACCAAAGTGCTTCAAAGCCAGCCCCCAGTGACCTATATATTTCACTCATACGCACCCCAACAACCTCAGCTGCCCATGCTGTGCTCTCCCCAGGCCCCCAAGCACTTGGATTTGCTGGCTGCAGCAGCAGATACTTGAACACCACGACATTAGACTGCGGCTTTCTTTTCAGATTAATGAGCAGAAAGGGATTGGAGGAGGGAGGGGCGAGAATGGCGGGAGAGAGCAATTACACCCAAATCTTTTCTCTGTTGATTAGGGATTCCTTCTCCAGCCTGCTTTGGCTCTGGCTAAATCTTTTTCTAATGAGATGTGGTTTATCCAGATCAGGCCGCTGAGAAAAAAAGTTGCAATTAACTTTAAGAAGAAAAAGAGTGAGTGAGAAAGCAGGAAGTGGGGGTGGGGAGACAGTACTGGCTGGGTGTGGAGGAGGCTGGCTGGCCACAGGTGGAGGGGCCAGGCCAACCTCAGGAAGGCTGCAGTTCTGCTCCAGCTTAGGAGCGACCCACGGAGCTTCTTTCTGGGAAAGCAAGGCCTCTGCGCCACTTTAGACCCTGCCAAGGACAGGAAGTGATTCTTCCCCTTGCATCTGGGGACTCCCCACACTCCACATACCACCTGCCCAGTGGCTTCTTTCCCTTTTACCTGCCAGGACCCTCCATGCCAGGCGGGCACTGACTCTTCTTGTCTTAGGAGCTGCTGGGGTCCAGTCATCCACCGGCAGCCAGGAGAGGAGGGCCTTCAGGCACAAAACCATGCTGGCTTCCCTGGCCTGCATCATGGTTCTCTCTGGGTGAGGGGTCCTGAGTTCTTTTCATGGGAGCTAGAAGGCTGGAGAAGGGCTGGGGGTAAAGGGGACATTTTGTATGGCAGAGAAATGCCTCTGGCTTTCAGAGCCACAGGAGACTGATCTGCTTTTTCTTCTTCATTGCCAGGGTCAAGCACACGCAAAGAACAGCTGGGAATGCACAAGTTGCTTCCTTCCTTGGGCGCTCAATGTCTTCAACCTGTTAGAAAAATAAAGAAGGGTGGTGGTAGGTTTCAGGGTCGCTGCCAACTGGATACCCTCAGATCTAACCTAAAGCAGACACAGCCTCTTCATGTCCCCCTCTGAGTACTGCACCTTTGTGTCCTGACCTCAGATTTTCTGCTGTCCACCTTCACAGGACACTTGTGCCTTCCAATGAATATTTATCCATACAGAGACTGGGTTTTGCTTTCTTCATGATGGTAGATATCCAGCAAGACTTGGTGGGGAGGGGTTGCATAAATGTTGAGATCTTCGGCCTGCTACCTATGGTGGGATTTCCATTGAGCCAGGGACCCTGAGTGTGGTCAGCTGGAATTAGACTAGGAGAGGTGGGTAGAAGTCTCTGTGTGTCCCCGCCACCAGTGTACACTATTCTTATGGATCCAGGCAGAGCAAGCAAGGCTGGATTTGAATTCACCTCCCTGTGCAAATCAGAATGGGGTTTTATTACTGTGGCTTTAACTTGGAGTCTGGGTGCTGTCCTTTAGCTTATTTTGTTCAAGGCTGGCATACTACCACTTGGGCTACAGCTCCACTTCCAGATTTTTGCTAGTTAGTTAGAGATAAAAGTCTCATGGACTTCCCTGCTTTGAACCATAATCCTCAGATCTCAGTCTCTTGAGCAGCTAGGATTACAGGTGTGAGCCACAGGTGCCCAGGCTGGGCTTCTTACTCATAATTCATCTGATCAGCATGTTTGATATTCAGATAAGAGAGACTTTGAATATAGATGGCCACCCCCTGCCCCATTCAATGGCTCCCTAGGGGGACACTTGAATGATCCCTTATGGAAGAAGCTGGAGTTGACCCCATGCTGGGGACCTATGAGCTAAGCCCATTTTCCCTATGTCTAAGATCCAGGGAGGTTCTGAGAGCCTGGTAACTGGGTCCCAGGCTGGCCCTCAGCTCTACTCCTGGCCTCACCTGCATTAGCTGCTGGAGGAAATCTGGCTTTCTCTTGTCTTCCTTTGGCTAATGCCAACTGAATAAGCATATACGCTAGAAATACTAACTACAGTGCTATGTGAGAAGTTCTTCTTAAACATATAGCAAGGTCAGAAGAAGGGAAAAAAATAGAAAACAAAACACAAAACCCTGAAGTAGAAATTGGACACAGAAGGGCAGATGTAGACTGAACAGGAAGTGCTGGCCCTAGGCTAAATGAAACAGCTGTCACCATTGTTCGGGACCAAGAACTGCCTTTGCAAACTCCTCGCGGGCCAGGCTCAGAAAGCAGATGTTAATAATTACAGCACATGAAACGAAGGGCACAGGATTAGGCAAGTGACGAAAAAGAAATGGTACTGGTAGATTTATAACTTGCTCAGGCAGATCTGCTTGGGCTGGGGGGTGTTGGGGGGGGGGAGATAGCCGCTCTGCAGAGCCTCCTCCCTGTACCAATCCCTTCATGGTTTGGCCTCTTGGCTTTTGGGATCATCTCAGAATGGGAAGACTGTGTAGATTGTTTCATGGTGGGCCATGGTCTTTCTTCACTGCCTTTCTAGGGAGCCATGACTATAGGGCTACAGCCAAATGCTTCTGATCTACAGGAAACATATCCCTAAATATTCAGCTCAAAGGCTGAAGGGGGTGTCTTCTGGGCGAGTATCTGGCTGGCTGGCGGACAGGACTGGGGAGGACACACAGCTAGATAGCTGTCCTTGGAACTCTAGATTTTACCCAAGCGCTCACACTTAAAATCCAGGAGCTCAGTTCTTTGCAGCTGAACTTGATTCACACTTTCAAGTTGGCCAGACCCTCGTGCCTTGGAGAGGGCCAGGGAGCCTGGAAGAATGCTGGGACTGTTGCAGAAAGTTAGCAGAGCAAGCTTCCTGGGCTAATTACATAACTAGAAAAAGCAGTCTCCACGTGTTGGCTGGATGTTCTTCTGGGCTTTTCCACGTGAACTAGGGTTGTAAAAAAAAAAAAGCAAAACAAAACAACATACTCACACCCACCCCCAAATCCCACTATTCTACCAATCCACCAGAAATGGACGTTACCAGGAAAGGTTAGAAGGAAGGTAAAAGCATGTGTTTGCCATCTTTCTGCCTGATATGGAAACCATATGCTTAAATACACTAGCAAACATACTTAATATAACACTCTCTTTTATTAAATGTGGTTTTATAAATGCTCTCCTCAGCCAGGGCACCTTCCTTGTGCTGGGGGCTGGAACTTGGCAAAATAATCTTCTCGCTGTTACATCTATTGATATACATTTTTTTGAAAATAAGTCTCGGACCCTTGGAAAATAGACTGGTTCTGATTATTACTGCAAGAGGGAAGGGGCACATGAGGGCATCTCGTTTTTTTCTCTGATAAATTAAAAGAACTGTAACGGGTGCTTTCTGCAACCTGTAAAAAGGGCAGAGCCATCTGTGATTCATTTAGCAGCTCCTTGCCGAAGATTTATTTGATTAATTTGGTCAGAAGAGAGAGAATATGGATTTTCCCCTTCTTGGAAAGGCACATACACCCTCACACACGCGCGCGCGCACACACACACACACACACACACACACACACACACACACGGATAGATATCTCAGGAATGAAAAATGACTAATCACAGTATTAGAACTGGCAAACATGTGGCCGTGGAGAAGAGATAGTGTGTTCCTGCCCTACAAGAGAGAAGAGCTGGTTTTAGTATTTGTGTGTGTGTGTGTGTGTGTGTGTGTGTGTGTGTATGTGTGTGTGTGTGTGAGTTCTGGGTCTTGAACTGAGGCCTTGGAGTTATTGTTTAACTTTTTTGCTCGTCTGGTACTCTACTAGTTGAACACTCCAGCTTGAACACTCCAGCTCTACTTCTGGCTTTTTGCTGGTTAATAGGAAATAAAAGAGTCTCAGGGACTTGTCTGCCTAGGCTGGTTTTGAACAATTCTCTTTAGATCTCAGTCTCCTGAGTAGCTAAGATTAAAGGCATGGGCCACCAGCACCTGGTGTTTCACATTCTGTGGCCCAGTGCTATCCGAATGGCCCCAAGAACAGTACCAGACCACTGGGTCACATGGATGCAACAGGACACTGGGTGTCAAGCACCCTATTGCACTCTTTGCAAGGTTTTGTCATCCTATGGTCACAATGGCCCCAAGAGGATAAGTTGTTATTGTCACTTCACAGACAAGGAAACTACCCCATTTTGTACATGCCTCCAAATGCTTTTCATTTTTTAAGATGGTTCTTTGCTTTCTCCGTTCTCCATGGCTGAGCCAGGTGGATTGAGGTTACATATTGTACTTGTCTTGTGGAAGATATTGGAGGAAGACGTTTCCACATTGGCTACTTCATGCTCTGAGGGTTTCAGTTTAGAGCAGAAAAAGCTTCTCTTTTAGGCTCATTTCTAGTTTAGCTTCTCTAGCTTTAGTTGTCTGTAGCTTCATGGCACAACCCTATAAGCAATTATCTGTCACTTACTCAGGGATGGGAACTAACTAGGAGCTTGTACAAGGCAAAGAAAACAGCAAAGCAGGCTGGGAAGGTGGCTCAGTGGTAGAGTGCTTGCCTTGCATGCATGAGGCCCTGGGTTTGATTCCTCAGCACATCATAAGCAGAAAAAGCCAGAAGTGGTGCTATGGCTCAAGTGGTAGAGTGCTAGCCTTGAGCTGAAGAGCTGAGGGACAGTGCCCAGGCCCAGCTGGGCCTGGCCACAACTGACCAAAGAAAGAAAGAAAGAGAGAGAGAGAGAGAGGAAGGAAGGAAGGAAGGAAGGAAGGAAGGAAGGAAGGAAGGACAAACACAACAAAGGCAAGAGGATTCATAAAATCAGGCGAGACTTGAGCCCAAGAGAACTTTGATATCAATGCCAGCAATGGCAAATAGGTAGCAAGTAAATGTGTGCATGCTTTCTATTCCTTCTACAGTGCAGACATTGCTAATCGATCCCAGATCTCCTGTTTGTCTTCAAAAATCTTCTCAACATAGCCCTCCAGGCAATGGATCACCATAATGAGTTGAAAGATGGTTGTAGTCCCTTCCAGCTGAAGGTTTCATTTTGTAGACAGAAACAAACAGGAGCCCAGAGGGAGAAAGTTGGTAACAAATCAGTCAGGAACTGGGTCTCAAGCCTCAGTTCTCAAGCCTTTCCCAGTAGCCTTTACATCCAAGCTAGGCACAGTGGGTCATAAACTTCTGTATATTGCTAGGTCTCTACCCTTCCCCAACTGAATATCACTGAAGCTGCTTGAAGATAGGATAGAAGGCATCTCTTGGAAGACTGGAGAAGATTCCGGTCTCTGTGAGTTTTAAATAATTAACTCCCATACCAGAATGGGATGGGATAGCTACTACCCATAGCATGTTATGAGCCAGATTCTTAGATTCTAGAAAGAAGTAGAAAGTTCTCCTGTGGAGACTGGGATCCTGGTAGACACCCCCCTGTCTCTCCCTTGCTGGATCACAGGAAATGCCTGAATCAAAGGCAGCCAGGACTCAACAGGCTGAAGGTATTGAGGGCTTTTGTCCAGCTGCAGCCTCAGACTTTTCTGCTGGGAAGAATTTCTCCTGGGAAAGAACAACAGGGTTTTGTGAGAGGAAGAAGACATCTGCCTCCTCCTCCAGAATTCTCTCCAGTGGAGCTCTTGTCCTGCTGGTCCTTTCTGGAATTTTAGGATATCTGCTTCTCAGCCGGGGTGGCTCAGGAAGAACTGGGTGCTTGCTTCCTAGCACTGCTGGTCAGAAACAGCCTTTCGGCGATGTGCATTGTGTCCAGAGGATCGGAGGGGATAGTCTGAGACCTGAGGTACTTCCTAGGGAGGCCATCACAGTTCACTCAGAAGTGAGTGTGTTCTCACTGACCAGCTCAACAAAGCTGCCTACTGTGTCAAAGCAGACCTGATTCAAGAATCCTTAAGACTGTCCATGCCTGCTCCTAGCTGTTTCCACACTTTTAAATTTTTGTTTATTTATCTATTTATCCGAGGAAACAGTCTGATGATATAGTCCTGACCGGTCTTGAATTTTTGATCCTCTTACCTCTGCCTCCCAAGTGCTGGGATTACAGGCATGTATTTCTATACCTGGCTCATTCTGATATTTCCAAGATCTGAAAACACTTAATGCCTGCTCTAGTCCTGTTTCTACTTGATTTCTACTTCTTTGTGAAGAAAGATTTGCCAGTCAAATCCTACTGCAGCCCACCCATCACAGCTTCTTGAAAGATCACAAATACAGACTTAACTGAAATGGATCCTGAGCTATGAGGATTTTATTGGCTTCAGATAATACCTCTTAAGGAGTTTCGTTAACCAAACATCATTTGTTGAGTAGAGCTGTTGGTTTGTGTTGTAGGAGTGGCTTTCTGAAATGTTCCTAACATGGTATATCCATAAATGGAATACTATTCACTCAGTGACATACTGATTTGTTCTAGAGTGTGGATTAACTCAGAAGACTGTAATGTCTGATGTTGATGTAATTCAAGTGAAAGAAGCCAGACAATGGTCCAATTCATGGCGCCAGCCGCATGAGCCAGACTGGACTGTTCTGAGGGATGTCTCTGATAGCCTGGAACAAGTGTCTGCTAGTCAAAGGCTCTTGGGTCCTAGAATCATGGGAGAAATCTCACAAGAGACTGGCTGGAGAAGAACCTTGCCATCATCCAGTTCTTCATGTGATTCCTTCCTCCTCTGGGAGCTGGAGATACTGGGTGAGTGTTATCTCCCCACAAATTCATGTACATTGTGGTTAGAGAAATAGGGTCTGTGGAGATGTATTCCAGTAAAGATGTGATCATCAGGGTGTCCTCTCATCTAATGATCGGGCTCCTTCTCAGAAGAGGGAATTTGGAAGACACATAGAGACACAGAGAAGAAATGATCTCATGAAAACTGAGGCAGAGATCAGAATAATAGTACCACAGGGAACCCAAGGCTTGCCAGTGACTGTCGATGGCTAGGAGAATTATAGAACACAGATTTTTCCTTCAGGGCCTCCAGAATGAAGCAAATGACCTTGGACTTCTAGCTAAGGATGCACCTGTTCAAGGCCCCCACAATTATAGGGCTAAAAGTAGTTCCATGGATTCCTAGGAACTTTTGCAATTTCTGAGTCTGATGGTGATGGTGTAGCCACCCCCAGCAAGCTCACTTGAGTTGTCACATTCTCTTGTGGTGATTTGAAATAATATCAGCCGGACATGGAGATATTAATTCTCCTTCAGTGGCCAGAGCTGCCCAGAGGATAGCTGGAATTGACTTCGTACACTAGGAAACTGGTAGCTATTTAGCAGACAAATAATCTTGAAGATGTAGAACTGGGAGTGGGGCACAAAAATAATGGAATACATTCTTGGAGAGAGGAAAACCCTTTATTTGGCTTCTGCAATACCTTTAAATAAAACGTCTGCTAAGCTCAGACCCTGGACAATGGATTCAATGAGAGACAGACGGTACATAGGGATGCAAAAGGGACCTTTCTAGCACTTAATAAATAGCACCTATGAACTGGAAACAATAGGAGGATCTCGTCATCTGGACTTGGTTTAATATACCCACACTTTGGGTTGTCATGTACCCATCTGACTACCACTGCTAAAGAATGTGAGAACAGAAATGTTCTCATGGTTCATTCATTCATCCATCCATCCATCCATCCATCCATTTATCCATCCATCCATAAACCCATTCAACAGTTACTAGTCTCCCATGGGGCCCTGGGCAAGAGCAGTAGAAACCAGCAGTGTGGGTGGGAGACTGTTACGCAGACAAGAGGGAGCTGTTGGAGCAGGTGCCTCAGGAAGACTTGGGGGAAGTAACACAGAGCAAAGACTTGAGCTAGAGGCAGCCAGCTGTCAGAGGTGAGGAATCCCTGCCCTTGATTGCTTTAATTTTAAGGATCAAGTTAAAAAAAAATAAGGAATCCTGATTTATGCCTAGACTTCATGCCAAGGCCCGGAGCTCTACAG